CATTAATTAAATATTAATTATGGGTCTTAAACTTATTGGGCCACCAATAAATTAATGTAAGAAAATCTTACACGAAGAGCATTACCGAACGACCACGCACGATTAACAAAGGACTGTGATATTCGTGTTCGACCAGATGCAACGGCATGAATCTCGACACGTATCAACGGCAGATAAGTGATTATCGAAGAGGAAGATTTTTACCTTTCTTAGAGATGTAGTTAAGGTAAAACTCCCCTACTATATAGAGGGGAAGCTGATTATTCATTAAATACATTGTAACACACATATCAAGGGAATATACACTTGTTTTATCTGCTTCTAAAGATTATTCTAAGTTCTTAGTTTTGTTCATAGCCCTTCATAAAGGTTTGGTTCTAAATCGAAAGCAGGCTAATTGTTTGGACCACAACCGCGCCCGAACTTGGTCTTACGACTGGTTTGGTCATTTATTCAATCTTTAATATGTACATCTAATGCTATTACTTGTTTGTATTGATTTAGTCATATTCTTAAAACCACGTATAAATTCAATTGTTATCCATTTTTAAAGGTAAACAATTGCTTTCCTAAGGGTGTACAAAATGCAAAATGTACTAGTAAAGGAGAACGAATAAAGTACTTTATGGCTAGTAAATACATAAATTTGAAAAAAGAAAAACGATAATGGGAAATTAATAGACTATTCACACATAGGTTATAACACGTTTCATCTTTATGACATGAATAATAATCTGCGAATTATTTTACAAGGATTGTCAAGTGCTACACATCTTCTTCTTCCTCTTTATCTCGTAAAAGATAAACGCGGGTACTAATAATATGATTTTTAATATGTAAACACTTCTAATTAAGCACGGGTACAAATTATTCGAAATTTTAGTTTTTCTTATGCTTTCAACCAAAGAAATAGTTTCCAAATTAAGTTCTATTTCGTTTCAGATAAGACACCTAACCAGCATATACTTATCAGGCACTGACAAAAAAGATTGGCGGAGTTCCCTAAAAGGTCCCTCTTCTATTTACCATTCTGTCAGCCGAGTAGTTAAGGATAAGTACGAAATTTCAAAGCCAACACCTTTCGTTTACACTTCATAAAAAACTTCCACTCAAAAGTCGAGATAACCATTAATAAAACCCTTTTGGCATCACAAATTTTTTGGTGTTATTTGCTCCTTTACAATTTTGAATTTAAGAAAATGATTTTTTTAGATCTTATATGTAAAAGAGAAATATCTTACGTATAAAAATAATTTTTTTTATATAAAAAAAAAAGATTGAGTCATAAAACTAAAAATAAATTTATAAAGAACCAAAAAACCTATTGACCCTCACAAATTGTCTGGAAGAGATTGCATTGAACATTTTCATTCACTATATTTCAGCTACCTGATGTCAAGATGACCCTTGCACTTTTCTTAAGCTCTTTTACACTACAAAAGTAACAAAAACACCTAGGCATATGTTAAATAGAATGATGAGGTTTCTTTTCTGGTACTGGCCTAAATATGCCGATGCAGTGCCACTTGCATGTAAATGACATTTCGCATTCATACATACATGATCTTTAATGTGGATTTAGGAAGTATAGGTAGCAAAATATTGGATAATTTTAAGGAAAAAGGTTTAAATTTGTCCATGAATTTTCTTTGTTTTCATTACAGTTTTGGTTTATTAAAATCGTCATTAACGGAGTTGCAGCGTGAAATAATTAAATTCCACGTGTCCAAAAATTTTCGAGAAAACAAAGTTCAAATATACTTCCTATCTATTGATTATGGTTTAAAATCACTCTCATATTGGAGCTCCATTAGGGATCAAGGAAAAAAATGAGACTTCTTCTTGACGGTGAGAGTAATATTAGACCAAAATCTTAGGTAAAATTGTTCAATTTCGAACAGTACAAGGGGAAATTTACTCATTTTCCTTAGTTTTAATGTCACTTGAAAATTTAAGTAAACCTAAAATTTTAGCACAATGGTGAAATCGAAAATACTCTCATATACTTGTTGTTTATAACAAATCAAGAAATTTAATCTTCTTAGTTAAAAATTAAAAGAGAAAACACGTATAATGGTAAAGTGATAAGTGTGAATATAAAAAAATGCACATCTGAATTTTATTAATTTAAAGTAAATATCGAATTTAAAAAAAGTAAATATCGAATAAAGGTAAGCTTGTATTGATCCAAAACCTTTATATGGCATTTGTAAAAAATTACGCAACCCATATGAAATTCCACAAGCGCGTCGCAGGGTGTGGCGCGGGATGCGGCGCGCCTGTACAAATTTTACAGAGCCAGAGTCCTATTTCGCTCAAGAAAGGGTGTTTCGTCTGAGCCCGACCCTACTTGGTATAAATACATATAAAATGCTATTTTGAGGACTTTTGACACATCTTAGACCTAGGGAGACTATTTTGGAAGGGAGAAGACGTTTGAAACAATTTCCGGAGGAGAGAATCATCGAGTTCTTCATTCCTTCATCTTTACTTTGTAATTTAATTATGCAAATTATTTGAAATTGTTACTGTGAGTATGAGTAGCTAAACTCCTAATTTAGGGTTTTGATGGAACATATTGGAGGACGATTTTCTTGTTACGTTAATATAGATTTGCCGTAGTATTTTCTCTATTTGTTCAACTATATTATTATTGATGTTGATTGAAGGGCCCTCAATCGACTGTGCCTATAGTATGCATTATTCGGGAGAGAGTGCATATTTAGGTAGTTGTTGAACAACATTACTCCTAACATATATTAGGGATCAATACGAAGGGTTTAAAGGTGGGATTAGGGATAACGAAATCTTGGTGCATTCTGAGTGAGCTGTACTTAAGTCCAGCTAGCATAATTTGGGAGACTATGTCTAATATATTGTGGTAATTACTCGGGAGAGAGTTACAGCAGTTAAAATTCTCATGATCGGTAAAGAAGACTTAGGCAAATTTATAGAAAATGTAGCGAAAAGGATTCCGACAATAGGGGAAGTCATAACCTTAGATCATTGCAATTCTTGTCTACAACTCGTTCGTAGTTAGTTATTATTTATTGCATTTTCATTATGCAATATTTAGTTAGTAAGCATTCAATTTGTTACTTAAATATTTCTGAAGATTGATTGCGTGAATTTGTGCGAGTCTAGTAGCTATGTTTAATAGGTTAACTCATTGTGAGATTCGATTCCGGACTTATTAACCGGAATATATTTGCAACGACCGCTAAGTCCTTTTTATAAAGCATAGTTATGCATGATCAAATTTTAGCGACATTGTCGGGGAATTAACGGTGTTATTAATTGCAGCTAAAAGAAGTGCTAGAATTCTTAGTGTAGTCAATTTTCTTTATTTTAAACTAAATACATTGAAATTCTAACGTTTGTAGTCTTGGGTGTTACAGGTGCATGCCTAGAAACTCCTCAAGAACTGGTGAATTGTTCAAAGCATTATCAGATCCTGAGAAAGTTTTCAAGGCACTGAATCGAGCAAAAAAGAAGGGCAAACAGCAATAGAACTCAACAGAACAAATCGAACCAGACATGGATGATGGAGTAGAAAATCCAAACAACAGAAACAATACGAATGACCCGAACAATCAGGGTGTGGTGCCTCTTGTGCCAGAAGCAGCATTGTATGACGGGGCACAACCCACCACCACCAATCTGGCAACCGCAATTGCAGTCCCTCGGATACAAGCGGAATTATTTCAAATCACAAACAACATGCTACATTTGTTGCAGAACAAGGGACTATTCTCAGGGTCATACATCGAAGATCCTCAGCAGCATCTGAAGAATTTCCTGTCGATATGTGCCACGCAAAGGCAACCTAATGTGACGCTGGAAGCAATAAAGCTGTTATTGTTTCCATTCTCAGTGACGAGAGAGGCTCAGGCTTGGCTTAATTCACTCCCCATAAAATCCATCACTACTTGGGAGGAATTAGTCAAGTAATTTGTGAACAAGTTCTACCAACCCATTTAGATTGCTAAACAAATTGATGAAATGTTGAGTTTCAGGCAGAAACCAACAAAAACATTACAAGAAACGTGGGAGAGGTTGAAGGGTATGCTGGTTAGGCTCCCACATCATGGCATTCTGGAGCAAATGTTGGTGCAGAGGTTTTACATGGGATTGGCAGACAACTTAAAGGCAAATATGGATGTTTCAGTAGGTGGAGCATTTTTTAGCAAAACATTCAGAGAAAGCAAGATCCTACTTGATAAGATGGCCCAAAACTCAAGATGGATGACAAGAGACTCTACAATCACTCCTGTAGTTCATTCACTGGCTTTGGACCCAAATAACTCCATAACTGAAAATATGGCCACTCTAGTGACGCAAATGAGTATCCTTACCAAAAAGATAGATGAATCAGGCCAGGAGCAGTAGGTACACATAGTTGATGCAACTAATGGGGGCTTATGTACACCATGCATTAACCAACCATATGTTTGCTCGTGGAAAGCGGAAGGCAAAACCAACAATATCAGGAAAATATGAACTATGTGGCCAACTATGGGGGACAGAGGCAAGGTGGTCAGAATTAGGGTCAGTAGAATCAACAATACAGACCAGCACAACAGCCGTACAATAATAGCAACAATCCTAGAGCTATGCGACCACAGGGTCAAGTTGTGCCTTACCAAAGGCAACAGGGTTACAACCAGCAAAATCAGCAACTGGATTATCAACAACCTCAACAATAATAGATTGTGAGACAAGATGATGGGTTTGTTGAACTTAAAGGAATGCTGAATAACAATAACAGAATGCTGCAACAACTGATTGGTACTACTAGAAAATTAACTGAGAGAGTAAACTCACATGGATCAGCGATAAAGTGTATTGAGGTTCAATTAGGACAGATTTTGATGGCTTTAAATAATCGTCCCCAAAGTACGTTACATGTAGACACACAAATCAATCCAAAAGAGTAGGGCCCAAAACAGCTTATGGTAGTGAGTCTACGAAATGGTAGAGACCTAGATCTAGAGCAAGAAATGGCTCGTGAAAGCCGACCTACTGAAACATTTGTGCTAGTACCCATTGAGATAGATGATTCAACAGGGTTAAATGAGGTAATGGTACAACATGCACATGAGAACACCAGCAAAGAAAAAGAGGTTGCGAAGGAGACTGGGGTAGCACAAGCAACGATAGTAGAAGAAATGCCTAAGTAAGATAAAACTCAAATCACAGGGAAGAAGCGACCTCCAGCACCATTCCCATAGAGATTGGCCAAGTATCAGAAAGATGAGTAGTATAAGAAATTCTTGGAGATGTTGAAACAAATTCAGGTGAACATTCCATTGATTGATGCCTTAAAGGAAATGTCTGGTTATGCAAAAATGATGAAGGACTTGATGTATCGTAAGTTAGACTTTCAAGACTTGGCCACGGTTACACTGGCTCAGACATGTAGTGTTGTTGTGACGAGACTCACAACTGAGAAACTGTCTAATCCGGGGAGTTTCACAATCCCATGCACAATAGGCAACAATGCATATGCCAAGGTACTTTGTGATTTAGGGGCAAGCATAAACTTGATGCCCCTGGCTATTTACAAAAGTTTAGGCATTGGAAGAGCTAGACCCATATCCATGTTACTACAACTGGATAACCGGATAGTGAAGAGGCATTTTGGTATCCTTGATGATGTATTAGTACAGGTTGAGAAGTTTGTGTTCCCAGCAGATTTTGTCATTCTTGATTGTCGGGTTGACGAGGAGATTCCCATAATTTTGGGAAGACCATTCTTGGCAACTAGGATAACTTTAATTGACTGTGAAATTGGAGAGCTCAAAATGAGACTAAATAATGAAGAAATAATATTCAACGTGTATAAATCTATGTCGTGACCAAGTGAATTTGCTAACTGCTCTCTAATAGAAGTCGTGGATGTAATTTTGGAGGAGGAAGATGAGACATTGAACACCAAAGATCCTCTAGAAGCCAGTCTCATGAACTTAGATGAAGCAAATAGAGAGGACTTGGCAGAGTGGCTACTAGCTCTTGAAGGCCAAGGGTTTTGGAGAAGGGAGCTCGGAGTTGAGCCTTTGCACTAGGAAGAAAGGAAAACTTCTCTAGCTAAGCCAACGATAGAAGAGCCACCAAAGTTGGACCTGAATCCCCTACCACCTCATCTCAGGTATACTTTCTTGGGACCTAACTCAACTTTACATGATATTATCTCATCTAGTTTGTTACATGTGCAGGTAGAACAACTTTTGCAGGTATTGATGGTGTGCAAAACTACAATTGGTTGGACCATTTCAGACATTAAGAGTATCAGCCCGGCCTTCTGTATGCATAAGATTTTACTGGAAGATGGGCACAAACCTTCCAGAGAACATCAAAGAAGGTTGAACCCTAATATGAAAGAAGTGGTGAAGAAAGAAGTGAGTAAGTGGTTAGATGCAGAAATCATATTCCCCATCTCTGACAGTAATTGGGTCAGCCCAGTTCAGTGTGTGCCAAAGAAGGGTCGTATGACGGTAGTGAAAAATGAGAAGAACAAGTTGATCTCAACACAAACAGTTACATGTTGGCAAATCTGTATGGATTACAGAAATTTGAACATGGCTACCCGGATAGACCATTTCCCACTGCCATTCATTGATCAGATGCTAGATAGATTGGCAGGGAGGTCCAATTTCTGCTTTCTGGATGGGTACTCGGGGGTATAATCAGATCTCTATTGCCCTAGAGGATAGAGAAAAAATGTCGTTCACCTGCCCTTATGGTATCTATGCCTTTTGGAGAATGACGTTTGGCCTATGCAACGCACCCTCCACATTCCAAAGGTGCATGATGGCCATCTTCACAGATACGGTAGAGTAAATAATGGAGGTTTTCATGGATGGCTTCCCAGTGGTGGGGAACTCATTCGATAATCGCCTTATGAACTTGAGAAGAGTATTGAAAAGGTGCATCGAGACTAATCTAGTACTCAACTAGGAAAAGTGCCATTTCATGGAACAGGAGGGTATAGTCTCGGGGCACCTAGTGTCGAGTAAAGGCATTAAGGTAGATCGTGCAAAGGTTGATGTGATCGAAAAGCTTCCACCACCCACTTCTGTCAAAATAATAAGAAGTATCCTCAGGCACGCCGGCTTCTATAGGATATTTATAAACGATTTTTCCAAAATTTCTAACATTTTGTGTAAATTGCTTGAAAAAGATTACCCTTTTGTGTTTTTTGATGACTGCATGGTAGCTTTTGAGGAATTAAAGAAGAGGCTAGTAACAACACCTATCATGGTTGCACCTGACTGGGAGCAACCATTTGAGCTGATGTATGATGCGAGCGACTATGCTGTGGGAGCAGTTATTGGGCAGCGAAAAGACAAAATCATGCATCCAATATACTACGCAAGTAGAACTCTGAGTGATGCCCAACTAAATTACACAGTGACCGAGAAGGAGATTCTAGCAGTGGTGTTCGCATTTGGACAATTCAGGCCATACCTGATAGGCTCAAAGATAATTGTTTATATTGACCATGCTGCTCTCATGTACTTAATGGAGAAAAAAGAGTCAAAGTCGCGCCTGATTCGATGGGTGCTACTGCTGCAAGAATTCGACTTGGAAATTCGTGAGCAAAAGAGAACGGAGAACCAAGTGGCGGATCTAGGCTGGAGGGAGCCGAGAAAAAGGTTGAGGTGGAAGAGATTGTGGAGACTTTCCTGGATGAACAACTATTAGCTACGAGTCTTGAGGTAGCGCCATGGTATGCAGACATTGCTAACTACCTGGCGAGCGGCGTTGTCCCTTATGACCTCTCCTATGTCCAAAAGAAAAAGTTCTTTCGTGATTGTCGTATGTATTATTGGGATGAGCCTTATCTATTCAGGATTTGTGTTGATAACATGATTCGAAGATGTATCACCGAGAGAGACCAATCTTTTATTTTGCAGGCATGTCACTCGTCACCATATGGTGGCCATTTCGGGGGAGCAAGGACATCGGCGAAAGTGTTGGAGTCGAGCTTCTACTGGCCGACATTGTTCAAAGATGCACACTTATGGGTGAAGGGTTGTGATGAATGCCAACGCATCGAGAATATTTCCTGCCAACATAAGATGCCTATGAACCCAATTCAGGAGGTAGAAGTGTTTGACGTATGGGGAATCGATTTCATGGGGAATTCTGTCAGCTAATATGGCAACAAGTACATACTCGTAGTTGTGGACTACGTGTCCAAATGGGTGGAGGCTGCAGGGCTCCCTACAAATGATGCAAAGGGGGTAATTGGTTTTTTGAGAAAGAAGATATTCACCCGATTTGGCACTCCAAGGGCAATAATCAGTGACGGAGGCACTCACTTCTGTAATCGAACCTTTGCAAAGTTGTTATAAAAGTATGATGTATGCCACAAGGTTGCCACCCTATATCATCCACAAACGAGTGAGCAAGTGGAAGTTTCGAACAGAGTGATAAAGAGCGTTTTGACAAAGACTGTGAGTGCTACAAAATTGGATTGGGCGAGAAAGTTAGATGATACCCTATGGGCCTATCGTACCGCTTTCAAAACTCTGATTGGCATGTCGTCATACAAATTGGTGTTTAGGAAAGCGTGTCACTTACCAGTGGACCATTTCAATTGTTGGGCCCTCAAATTATATGCTTGCGCTTCAAATGTCCAGTTATAGCTAGACCATTTCAATTCTTGATTTTTTCAGTGTTGGGCCCTCAAATGATATGCTTGTGCTTCAAATGTCCCGTCCTGGGCGAGAGGGGAGGTGTTAGAATTGTCCTGCATTAGTTGTAAATGGGGATATTGGTCTTGTTATATGGTTTGAGCAATCCTCTGTCTCATAAATTAATTTTGAAGTTGAGTTAGACCTAACTTTTATTTCTTGGATTACAAAAATTAAAGTACGGAAATGAAAAAAAACACAACGAACATGGATATCTAATGAGAAACTGACCAACTATCTGTTGCCATACGTTAAAATCGAGGTGGATTCAGTCTCTATGGGCTATTTAGTAATTGGATTTGTGTCACAGATATTTTAAAGTCTGTCTCAATAGTGGAATAGGTATGGAAGATATTGGATTTGAGTTGAGTCCAAGATATTTTGAAGTCGTACTCAAAAGTAGAATAAGTATGGAAGATATTATTTTTTCTGTGACCATCTTAGAGGACAGAAGATATTAGTATTCTCATGACCTTCGTTGACCCCTCATTTGGTGTGAAGGGAAAAAGGGAAAAGCAACTGAAAGGTCTATATTTATGGAAAGAAATAAGTGCGCTGACTAAGAACAGGCAACAGACATAAGAATATGTCTTAAATCCTAAAACTATAAATTAAATGACCAGGGAGCCAATGCTTTGGTGATAGTACATGTGATACTTCGCAATTTATAGTCGGTTCCAAATCCGTACAAAAAAAAAAAAGGAAAGAAAGAGAGTCGCAGTCGGTTAATAATTAGATAGTGTAACTATTGTTAGTGTTCTCGTATTCATGTACTAGCCTTTTTCCCCACCATATTCATGTACCAACCTGAATAGAATAGAATGGATACGACGGATACATATAATCGACTTAATTAGATTGACCATTATGTCAAATGTTTATCTCTACACAACCAATTGAAAGAAAGGAAAGAAAATAGACACTGATGTTGTGAATAGTGTAAGAGAGTGGATACTTCTGCTGTTATTGATATCTATTTCCTTTATCTTTTGATGTTGTCTTTAATTTTTAGGCTTATAAATAGCCTTATATTCGGATGATTAAACACACAATTGAAGAAGAAAAGCTACTCCTCCTTTTTATCTCTGTTATTTTTATTTCTATTTTACTATACTGATTTTATTTATAACACGTTATGAGTACAATGTTCTAACTAAATTCATCTCTAGGTAGTGTTTAGTTTCTTCTTCAGCACATGGCGCGTTTCCTTTAAAAGCTTTTCTAGTATTGCTGCTAAGTATCCTTTTTTTTTTCTTTTGTAATATGGAACCCGCTTTAACTATTATGCTCACTATTATCACTTTGCCAACTGAAAGGATAACAATTATATGTTTCATAGGTTCAAATAATTTCTTGATGGTCGTGGATGAATGTTGTTACAGAAGATATATGACAAATGGAATCTTCTCAATTCTATAAGCAAGATACTTCCTTGCATTCACTCTGAAATTTTTTGAACCTGATTAATTGTTGGGTACTTGAATATACTTGGTTAATGGTTATGCAATAATTCTCTTATAAGCATGATATAGTATTACTACTATTTTGAGTGAGCGAACATGAAGTGACTCATAATTATAATTATAAAGCTTCTTATTGGATAATAGTTTTTATAATTTCTAACTCATATATTTTCTTTGATAGTGTCACTATGTCGAATTTATGAAAGTTTGAATTCATAGCACTTTACATCTTTGAGAAAAATTATTTATCATAGGTTCTCGATACTGAAATTCGCTTAGACACTAAAAGTTTAGGTGATAATATTACTCAAGGTAATGAAGCATCGAGTCAGGATAAAACGAAGGCTATGATTTCCCTTCATCATTATCTAGATGAAGGGTTGAAGGCTGAACATTTGACAGTAAAAGATCCACTTGAATTGTGAAGTGATTTGAAGAAAAGGTATGACCACCTTAAGGTAATGGTATTGCCAATGGCTTGGTATGAGTTGATATACTTACAGTTACAAGATTTTAAGACCGTAAGCAAGTATATTGTATTTAAAATAACTTCCAAATTAAAATTATGTGGGAAAGCTATAAATTATGAGGATTTATTAGAAAAGACTCTTACTACTTTTCATGCCTCAAAAATAGTGTTACAACATCAATACCATTAAAGTGTTTTAAAATATTTTGAGTTGATCTCATGCCATTGTCACAATCCAAAATTCCACCGTAGGTCGTGATGGCGTCTAACCATACTTGCTAAGCAAGCTAACTAACAATCAACAGAATATCTTCCAGATTCCTTTAATTAACAAAGTCATAACATATATAAAGACGGAAATAATCTCGAAATAGTATAATATCTGATATAATCATAACATGTTTCGAACATGACTAAAACTGTATAACTCCCAAGGATTTGGTGACATAAGTACACGAGCAACTACTAAATAAGTACAAGTCTGAATACATGAGCGCAACAGTCTGAGATAACGAAAATACACAGGAGATAATAAAGTACAGGTACTCAGGCATTGCGAAATGAATCCGGGGGGTGCAACTCACCCTATGTCTCTGAGGGAACACCTAGGCTCAACGAGAGGCTCCGCTCACACCCACCTGAGGATCTGCACAAAAAGATATGCAGAAGCACAGTAGGAGTACACCGTAATTGGTATCCAGTAAGCATCAAGTCTAACTTCAAAGAAATAGTAGCGAGGCTATAGACAATATGATACTTACAACAATAGCAGAGTTTAGAATTGACACAGTAGATAATCTCATGAACAACAAGTATCAAAGAAATAAATAGTCAAAAGATATAAAGCATACATTTTCAACTCAAGGTATAAGTATAACGCTACTCAGATATGGAATTTAAAGATATCATACTTCAATCAACGGAGACAAGGCTTCCAACTAGCATATATAGGTGTTATGCAACAACTAACATTTAAATGAATGCTTCTAAGCGAATCAGAGATATCTATATATTCTCAAAACTCTATAACCCACCATAATCGGTACACGATCCACGTACTACGATATACAATCCATGTATCATTGAACTTGATACACAATCCATGTAGCACTGAAATCCGATATACAATTCATGTATCGACCACACTCACAAAGCCCAAAATAACAAGGGTAATCATCTGATTCTAAAGGGATGGATCCTTATTCAAGTGCAAAAAGACTTTAGTAGCTCTCTTATAAATCAAATACTTATCTATCATGTCTTGTGTGCCATAACTGCATCTCAAACGCACGACCTTACTTTTTGTGCCACAATATTAGTCTGAGTTAAGTACTCAAATATAATATGTATGCATATACCAAAGAATTAATAGATAAAGGATACACAAGGAATTGATAAAAATCATGCGGATATATGCTCGTGGAATTTCCATATGACTACAGATAGTTCAAGCAATTCAACATATCAAGAATAATCTCTCATGCCTTCATAAATAATCATTAATTAAGGCATGATCTCTAGCATGAATAAGAAAGCGAACAGAGTCATATAAACCAAACAAATCATGAATCAAGATGAGTACACAATCAAAACAAAGCATAAAGTAGCTCAATTCTACCCCGGACATGATATAAACTTGGTAGGTGCATATACGCTTGCCACCCTGCATATACACCATCCCCAATACCTTGAACACTTAGCAATCAAGTCAATCCTAGATAGTTTTTTTCTTAACAAGGTTAGCCAAGAGACTTACCTCTTCCCGGCCAAGCTTCCGCTTTCAAAAATCACTTTTCCTTTGAGACCCTTTTCCAACTGGTTCAAATCTAGCCAAAAAGTACTTAATAAAGTCAAATGAAGCAACCCCTAATCATAAAGTTTCGATCTTGAAAGAAGTACAAGTCAACCCCGGGCCCACCGTTCGGGATTCCAAAATTGAACACAATTTCTAATTACTCATTTACCCATGAGTCCAAATATTTTATTTATATTTAAATCCAAGTCCAATTTTATGACCAAAACTCCAAAGTTTATTATCTTAGTCTCCAAGTCAAAACCCCAATTAGTTCCATA